AAGGCGCGTGCCAGAGGGAGGGTGGGACGCGGCCACCGGGGCTGGCCAAGGGAGATTGGGAGGAGAAGCGGGGGAGAACTGGCTGCCCGGGAGGGGGTTGGGGGAAGTGGGGCTGGCCAGAGGCGCAGCGGGGGGAGCAGGGAGGAGGAATGAATTGGCCTGTGGGGAGTGGGACTGACCCAGCCATATGTAGATCTTGGGGCACTGCCCCCATTCCCCCCTCCCCCCCACAAAGCACGAGTTAGTCCGGCCCAGGGATTCTATTGCCCCCCCCTCCCCACGCACCTCCCCTCAAGTAGTTGCGAACTGTCTGGCTGGTAGACACACTCATGCAGTCTGAGCACATTTACCAGCCAGGCAGTTCGAAACTACAAACTGATACATCTAGTAATAATACAACTTACCTAATGAGAAAATACCAGACATGTTATATATTTTCTCAGTTTGTTTTTTATGTATTTATATTTTTGAGCTGTTAAAAGCAGTACGGAAAAAAACGGGTTCCAACTAAAGTAAAAAGTTTGGGAAACCCTGGTCTAACCAGCTTTCTGTCTGTCTTACAGTCCATGTATCCAATCCATATTCCTTAACTTGCTGGCAAGAATATTGTGGGTGACCATATCAAAAGCTTTGCTAAAGCTGGCACTGGGGGCTTTCAGAGGACCAGAAACAACTTGTTTGAATATTCATCATTTGATTAATGAATATGCAAATATGCAAATGAACATTACTGGTCCTCCAAAAGTTCATGAATGGATTTACTTGTCCCCGTGTCAAAAAGTTTGGGAACCGTGTGCTACATGATCTTTGTGAGAGCAAGCAGGAAAGTTATCTGACAGGGGGTTGTGGTAGAGCATCTAGCCAGAGAATTTCAGCTGTCAGACACTGGGGTGATAACGAGAGCACAGCAAGGGGCAGTGCAAATCAGAGAGGCTTTGAAGGACAATTTTATGAATGACCAGGTTTGAGACTCATCCCTGTTGCTCTCAACAAGGTGCCTCTGCGTTCCTTTTGTTTGCCTTTAATTTCCCACCTCACCCCTGCAGTACAAACAATAAAGAGACTGATGTTCCGAGGTCATGTGTTTTTATTTAAGGAAAACAGCAGGGGAGTAAAAGAAGTGAGAACCTGAAGTGGGGAGGAGGGCTCAGAAACCCGTGAAGGACAAACTTTTGCCTCCTAAAGTCCTGGAGGGTAAAGCTGTCCTTGAGTTCCCTCCCTCCCCCCGCCCCAAGTCCTGGGGCCCTGGCGGACCCTGGAAATCCTGAGGGTGGGTGCTACAGAGCTGGGGGAGGAGGGAATGTTATTTTGATCAGGGGAGCATCTGGACTCATGCAGTTCAGAGGCAGGCATGGTAAGGGCCGTGCCAGGCAGGAGCCTGCACGTGTGTGTGTGTGAGGGAGGCAGGGTCTGGCCCACATGGCTTCCCAGGGCAGAGCAACTTTCCCAGACTGCAGAAGCCTGTAGGGGGAGGGTCGGGATGGAGCAAAGGGCCTTCCCTCTGTGTCTGGCACACGCTGGGTCCAGCACACACGGCTTCCTGGTTAGGTGCTACTTCCCCAGCCTGCGTCTGGCACACGCTGGGTCCAGCACACACGGCTTCCTGGTACAGTGCTACTTTCCCAGCCTGTGGGAGGGAGCAGGGAATCTGTGTCAGACAGAAATGGCTTCCTAGGGAGAGTGCTAATGGCTTCCCCTCCTCCTTCAGCCAGGTTGCCATGAGCGAGATCACTCTTCTCCCGATCACACAGAGTGATTGGGAGCAGATGCTGGCTGAATGTGGCCATAAACCTGGGCCTTGTGCTGCAATGCTTTGTGGTTCAGGGACACTGGACCACTTCCTGGAGGCTTGGCTCGGAAAGGTGTCCTACCATGAAGGACAGAATAAGGCAGGCCTCCCCAGAAACCTTGTGAGAAGGATCAAAAAATTCCTATGTGAGAGCTTCATGGAGATGTGCAGAGAAGATTCCTGCTCCATCTGCATCTGTTCTGTCCTCTTCCCCCTTCCCTGTGCTGTGGTAGGGTTCAAACATGTAGGTTTCGTGCATTACTGCTGACTATAATAAAGCAATTGCCTTAACTGACTCGTAGAAAGAAAAAAATTGTGAACTCATCAGAAGTGCCCCCTGGGTTGGTGCTCAACTGAGAGACATCCTCGGAGTAGGGAACTGACCTTCCAGGTGCCCAATTCCCAGCACTTCCCCAAAGGAAGCAAGGGGTAGAGTGAAATAATGGGCTATGCATAGACATATGGAAGGTGGCAAAGGCACTGCATTGATATTTTCTGGGTTTGCCTCCTTGTTTAAGTAACTCCATTGTCTGCCTCCAGTGAGAGGGAGACTTGTTTGTGCCGGAGGTCAGATTCCTAATACCAACAACCTATGAGCCACCCAAACCTTGCAGGATAGCAATAGGTGTACGACACTCCCTGAGCCCTGTAGAGCCCAGAAGCATCTTAACCACGGAACACTCACAGAACTACCAGGCTTGCTATCCGCACACACCAACTGGAAATGCCTTATCTGCTTTACTTCCTACCATAGCACTTAGTCCCTAGCCAACCAATTCAGCCTGGGAGACCAACCTTTAGGACCATCATTATACAGGTGTGTGATGTAGCCTGATCCAAAGATTCCTATATATAGTACTGAGGGTTGACAAGACCTTATGCCCCTTACATCCTACTTCCAGTGCTTTATAATTTACGAGTTACTTAAATTTGGTACTGAGGGTTGACAAGACCTTATGCCGCCTTACATCTTACTTCCAGTGTCTTCTAATTTACGAGTTACTTAAGTTTGTCTATGGCAAAGTGTACAGGTCTTAAGCCTCATGTTAACTACTAAAGCCAATGTCTTACAGGGTTCAAACATGTAGGTTTCTTGCATTACTGCTGAATATAATAAAATAAAATATATATTGCAAAGCAGTGACTATAACAAAAATAAGCTTGCCCACTGGGCTACAGTGATGCCCTAAATAAAGTACTGTTGCGCCATATTAAATGCTGGGTAATATTCAGTATTCATGAGGTTTCCAAACTCTACTGGTAGTCAGTTTAATAAAGATGGGACATGGAAAGGGAATTATTTCCTTCTAGTATCTCCCAGGGCTGAGAATTTACAAAAAAAAAAAAAAAAGTCCCTCCCCAAAAGGAGGGTATTTCGCCTTAGGGCTCCAAGATCTGGTTGACCAACATAGAAGGTTCACATTGCTGCTCAACATATGTTTGTCACAAGTGAACTGGCATCTAAAGATTGAATGGACAAAATCTGGATGTGTGCCAGTTTACAAACGGGGGCAAGCATAGAGGTCAACAGACAGGTTGGTAATGGTGGCCGGCAAAGCAGCTTGGGATAGTCATAGTGCGCAAGTAGCACTGTTTATGCCAGAACAATAGACTGGACTCACATTGTAGCAACAAGGCTACAAAAGAATTGGTGACAACTGCAATCAGGGATCTGTGATGATGTCCATTGTGTGTAAGAAAAGGCAAAGCTGCATATTAACCCCCCTCTATGTCCCTTCCCCACCACAGACAAGCTCTTAGGACATTTTTCATCCAAACAGGTTTCTTTCTCCTTCATAGCTCATATCATCTCCCCCTGCTGCTTATTCTCCAGCTGACAGCATGAACACAGTTGTTGTGGAGGTAGTTGTGACAAAGTCACACACAGTGCATTGTGACTCTAAGGCTATGTCTTCACTGCAATGCTATTTTGGGATACTGGAGTATCCCAAAATAGCTATCCCATGTCTCCACAGCAAGCCTGTTAGTTCAAAGTATAATGGGCTCGCTATTCCAACGTCCTTGTAAACCTCATTGCAGGAAGAGTAAGGGGCATTTTGGGATAGTGCCTTATTTCGAATTTGCTGCTGTGTAGACAGCACCAAAGTACGAAATAAGCTATTTTGAAATAAGATCAAAATAAGATACGCGCTTTGCGTAGCTCAAATTGCATATCTTATTTTGACCTCTGATGATGACACTTGAAAAACACAGATCTAATTTTCACCCAAATGCTGCTTAGAAATAAGAAGTGAGGATCAGCACCTAGAATATGAGACTGGCAGGAACCAAATTATTTCTATGGAAAATATTTTCCAGGAGATGTCAGTATTTTTAGCACCCTATGTGCAAATACTGAGCTGTTTTATGTGGCTCTTTTGATGGTTCTTGGGTCACCAAAAACTGAGAGTTGCATGTTACTTGCCTCCAGTGAGAGGGAGACTTGTTTGTGCCGGAGGTCAGATTCCTAATACCAACAACCTATGAGCCACCCAAACCTTGCAGGATAGCAATAGGTGTACGACACTCCCTGAGCCCTGTAGAGCCCAGAAGCATCTTAACCACGGAACACTCACAGAACTACCAGGCCTGCTATTCTCAAAGAGATAGTGCACACACCAACTGGAAATGCCTTATTGGCTTTACTTTCTACCATAGCACTTAGAGATACATTTAGAGTAAAAAATAAGACTAAGCATAGTAACAAAAAAGTGATTCAAAGATTAAAATGACCGAGTAAGAATAATGGAAACGGAACTGTTACATATCAAAAAAATTAATACATACATGGCTTTGAGAGACTAAACTTAACTTCACAAGCTAAACTAATTTCTAAAGAAGTGTATTTCACCCAAAGCCTTTTCTGCAGCATTTCAGTCAAGACTGGTTGTGATTCTGCTTTCACTACTGTAAACCATTGTCCATTTACTCCCTAGTTATTGGATAAAAGGGGGTCTTTTTGTCTTTGCCCCATATCCCCCGAAATTCATTGTCTCAGAGGGTACGTCTAGACTGCACTCTAAAATTGAAATAAGATACACAATTTGTGCTATGCAAATTGCATATCTTATTTGGATTTTATGTCAAAATAGACTATTTCAAAATTTGGTGCATCTACACAGTGCCAAATTTCTAAATAAAGCATTATTTCCAAGACATCTCTTATTCTTCTTGGAACAAGTTTCACAGGGATGCCGAAATAGCGCACCCATTATTTAAAAAATTATTTCGAAATAGTGGACGCATTCCTTGGACGCAGGGTAGCTATTTCAGGATAGCCTTCCATCTAGATGTATCCTAATGGAGGGGCACTATCGCTCCCCAATCAACTGTTTTTCCAGTCCCAATTGACTTTGCCTGTCTCTGTTGAATTCCAGTGTAGACGGGGATACCATTGTGTTATCTTACAATCGTTAATTTACATTTTGGCCAAGAGTTACACATTATCTCCTGTCTCGAAGAAAACCTGCCTTGCTCTTTGGTTCGTGACTCATTCCTGGCTACCAAATCTAAACATATTTTCGGTATGTGCATATGAGACTATATCTGTACATTTCACAGCTCTCTCTATGACCCTAGATTTCATTTGAGACCTCTCATGGCTTTCTTTATGGATAACTACTATGAAAGCAGTGTGCATGATACAGTGAGCTTGTCAAGCTTGTTAGGAGTTGGTGCTATAAAGTAGCGAACCCTGGAGGATCGGGGCCAGTCTAGACGCTCTTTTCCGGCTTTTTTAAAAGCCGGAAAAAAGCGGCGGACATTTTTATTTAAATGCCGCGGGGGATATTTAAATCCCCCGCGGATTTCCCTAGTACGATAGGTGAAATTAAGATGCCCCTTCCGGAAAAGGGGCCAGTGTAGACGTAGCCAGAAGGTTTACATTGCTGCTCAACATATGTCCAGGGCTTCTGCCATATTATCGCAAGTGAACTGGTATCTAAACATTGAATGGACCAAATCTGGATGTGTGCCAGTTCACAAACAGAGAGAGCATAGAGGTGAAAAGACAGGTTGGTGATGGTGTCCTGCAAAGCAGCGTGGGATAGCCATAGTGCGCAAGTAGCACTGTTTATGCCAAAACAATAGACTCGACTCACTTTGTAGCAACAAGGCTACAAAAGAATTGGTGACAACTGCAATCAGGGCTCTGTGATGATGTCCATTGTGTGTAAGTAAAGGCAAAGCGGCAGATTAAACCCCCTCTATGTCCCTTCCCCACCACAGACAAGCTCTTAGGTTTCTTTCTCTTTCATAGCTCATATCATCTCCTGCTGCTTATTCTCCAGCTGACAGTATGATCACAGTTGTTGTGGAGGAAGTTGTGACAAAGTCACACACGGTGCATTGTGACTCTAAGGCTACGTCCTTCATTGCAATGCTATTTCTGGATACTGGAGAATCCCAAAATAGCTATTCCGTGTCTCCACAGCAAGCCCATTAGTTCAAAATATAATGGGCTTGCTATTCCAACGTCCCTGAAAACCTCATTCCAGGAGGAGTAAGGGACATTTTGGGATAGTTCCTTATTTTGAATTTGCTGCTGTGTAGACAGCACCAAAGTATGAAATAAGCTATTTTGAAATAAGATCAAAATAAGATACGCCCTTTGCGTACCATCTAGACAAACCTAATGGAGGGGCACTATCACTCCCCAATCAACTGTTTTTCTAGTCCCAATTGACTTTCCCTGTCTCTGTTGACTTCCAGTGTAGATGGGGATACCATGGTGTTATCTTACAATCGTTACTTTACATTTTGGCCAAGAGATACACATTATCTCCTGTCTCAACGAAAACCTGCCTTGCTCTTTGGTTGGTGACTCATTCCTGGCTACCAAATATAAACATATTTTCGGTATGTGCATATGTGACTATATCTGTACATTTCACAGCTCTCTATGACCAACGCAACCCTAGATTTCATTTGAGACCTCAAAGCAGTGTGCATGCTACAGTGAGCTTCTCAAGCTTGTTAGGAGTTGGTGCTATAAAGTAGCGAACCCTTTGTCAGGCACCAGTGGGTCTCTGGGTCACATCCCCTTCCAGGAGTATACGCTACAAGAGCTAGAACTCAGGCATTTCGTGAATGAAAAAGACTGAAAACTACAGAGCTACTATTCACTATTTTTTTTACTATTTTATAACACAGGGGTATAATTTGACTCAACCAGTCATTCCATTCAGCCATAGATTACACCTTTCCTAAGTACTTGCCTCCCACATGCGAGCACTGGCCATAGAAAGTTCAATGGCATCTTGTCCTCCACATCTTTATTGTCCACATGCTGTATGTAGTATGTGGGGATTCCTTGCTCTGTGGGCCACACAGCTTTAATGGGTGGGTTCTGAAGAAGCAACAAACAATAAATTTTGCAGCATGCCACTGTGAAATGTACTAGTGGCTGTAACTTCTGTTGATCAGGAGAAAGCAAAGGCTGAAAATAAAAATGAGGACAGCGATTATCATAGGTGCTTCGCAATGTTGTTACATCAATTGTTAAGCAGATACCACCACCCTTTGACTCGGCTTGTAGCTTCTAACTATGGACACACCAGTATTGGAATTTATAAACCAGAACAGCTGAAGACACATCCAGGGCTCTTTTGTTTAGTCGGATCGCCTATCAGAAGTTCCAAATGCTGGGATTCAGCTAGCCAGAGACCTGACAAAATTCCTGGGCTGCCCTTTCTCCCACATATTGAAACAAAGCCTTTCAGGAGACCAGAGAAAACAAATCTTTTTGAAATGTGCAATCTGCAGGTTGACGACAAAGCTCCAAGGCAACCTGGATAGACATTTACCACAAGAAACAGGACAGAGTCTGGTTTTATAGAACTGGAAAATAGGTGTTCAAATCAGGGTTCCTCCCACTTCCTGTGGTCTCAGCTCCACCTAACTCAACATAATGTACGCTCAGCTCTCTTGGCCCAGAATAGAAGCCAGATGCACATTCTCTACCAGCTCCCTCTAGCTGATGGAAGGAGTGGGGGTGGCATCAATAGAATGCAAAGGACGGATGTCCTCAGCCAGAGTCGTTTCCACAGTGTCCAGCTGCACTGTAAACTTACCGTGGGATTTTAACTATGTCGTTGAGGTGTATGAAAAACTACATCCCCCGAGTGACGCAGTTATACCAACCTAGCCCCCAGTGTGGGCAGCACAAGGCTGACAGAAGGGCGTCTCCCATTTACAGCTACTGCCTCCAGTAGAGGTGGATTTCTCTTGTCAGCATAATAGCACCTTCCCTAAGGTACTACAGCTGCACCACTGCAGTGCTTCAAATAGATTTATCCTTTGAGGGAGAAGGAAAGAGGAGTAAAAGGGAGGGGCTGACAGGAAAATTCTTGAGTACTGGAAGATTTCAGCTTCATGCCAGAAGTGGACGGTACAACACAGAACTCAGTTGTGTGTCTTTAATACCGTGAGTTTTACAGACATGTCTGGAAATGCCTCCCTCCCCACCACACACACACACTCCCCCCAGGCTTGTTCTTTACTCACCAGACTCATGGCTTGGTAAAAGTTTTCTCCGTATTTAAGGTAGAGATTTTTAAGGTGATTCTTTATCTCTCTTATGAGCCCAGGGGGCAGCTACAGACAAAACAACAAAGCAGCCTGAGTTAGCTGCTAGGAAATGGAATACTCTACTTCCCAATTATCAACCCTGTCCAGGGAGAGACATGTTTCTAAACAGTGATTTTGAAACTTCCAGGTCCCATGTTTTGAGCAAATGCTGAGACTGGGACATGGGGTTTGAAGGAGGTTTCTAACTCCTGCAAGTACATTCATCCAGTCAATGACAGGATTAGTATCTTCCTTATGTGACTCACCCACTACAGGAGGCCCCTGGCTTTACGATCACCCAATTTTCAACCCCTCTGCACTTAAAACCTCTTCCATAAGTGCGGAAGGGGCCAAAAGACCCCTGACTTATGTCCTCGGCCCCGCATTTATGATGGTGTACGACATGTGTCATAAATGCGGGCTCGAGTTAAGAGGCCTCCAACTTGCGATGCTATCCCCAGAACCGATCACGTTGCAAGTCGGGGTCAGCGGGTACATATCACTCAGCCATTCTTCTGCCAATTCCAAACATAAAGGAATCACAGTTCTCCCCCCAGCTCTACCTGTCCCGCAAAGCCCACAATTTAGCTCAGGTTATTTCCATTGTAGCTGCCTATCTACATTAGGGCTTCCAGCATTTCTCACATGGGTGGAGCAACAGCCGGTTTTTCAACTGTGGGACACTAAAAAATGTGTCTCTTTTGTGCACAAGGCTGTAAAGAGATGGCAGATTTAAACAGGTTACGCAGCTTCCTGCCACTACCTCAGTCCTATCACGCTGTAATGTTAAATACCTGTTGGCTTGTGGTTTCTTTCCAAAATGGAATCTCCAGGAGTTCATAGATTTGATTCATTTTTTGTGATAGCTCTTCTTCACATGTGGAAAACAGAGCCTGGGGGCAAAGAGATCACTGTCAATACCAATTTACCAATATCTGCACAATTGATGCAGCATTTACCAACAGCCATTACTCCATTTCCGTACACTGTGTTGTCCTCTTAATTACACAGTGATGATTTTCCCCTCAATACACCCAGCCTTGGAGCAACAATGAGACATCAAAGCTAATCTCCTGTGTGTCAGGGCAGAGTGCCTGCTAATCACAACGAACCCCGATAAGATGCTGTAGCAGTCTCAGCTGATGCCTAGCTGGAGTGAGAAATGGGAACTCAAACTGC